TTTTTTTTTTTTTTTTGAGACAGGGTCTCACTTTGTTGCCCTCAGTAGAGTGCTGTGGCATCATAGCTCACAGCAACCTCAAACTCTTGGGCTCAAAGTGATTCTCTTGCCTCAGCCTCCTGAGTAGCTGGAACTGCAGATGCCTGCCACAGTGCCTGGCTATTTTTTAGAGACAGAGTCTCACTCTTGCTCAGGTTGGTCTCCAACTCCTGCGCTCAGGCAATCCACCCACCTTGGCCTCCCAGAGTGCTAGGATTACAGGTGTGAGCCACTGTGCCCGGCCTAGAAGGGCTCCTTTAGAGGAGAACTACTGTCTTCAAAACATTAGGTCCACACTTCTCTCCCTTGTGATTGATGTAACTTCTTCCCACGTTCTTATCCTTTTAGTTGAGCGTGTAACTTGGAAAAGGAACGACGGAAAATTATGCACCTGGGAATCTGCAGGAGCCAAAAGTGTGACTCTTGGAACCTCACAGTGGGGAATCCAGCTTTTGTGGTCCATTCTTATAGGTTAGAACCCTTAAACTACAGGAATACATAGAATGGGGGATGAGGATAGAGATTTTCAAAGGCATTCTGCTCCAGTTCAAGGAGCAGCCATAATAATAACAATCATTTAATTGATATGCAGTAATAGTTATGATTACTACCATAGCAACCATTTATTAGGTGTTCCCTCAGTGCCTGGTTCTGTGCTCATTTAATTATTTCTAATAGTCCTGAAGTAGGCATCATAATAATCCCCATTTTACAGATGAGGAAAATGAGGCATAGTGAGGTTAAGCGATTTGTCCATGGTCAAACAAGCTGTCTCTATTACTATGTTGTAGCAAATGACAGATTGGATGTTTCAAGTTATTGGATAAGGAAAAGGCAGGGTGAAAGGGGCAGGAACCTAATATCTATTGAGGCTAGATTACGTGCTACACGCTTCATCTAAGTCATCTCATTTTTCCTCACAACACTCCTGTTGGATAGGTGCCATTATTAGGTGAGAAAATGAATGCTTACAGATGTTAAGTAACTTGCCCAAGATAGAGATGGGACTCAAACCCAGGGGTTCTGATTATGAAGTTTATCATCCTTCCTCTTCACTTTGCTGCACATGCATCAGCTGAGAGGGCCTTGAAGCAGGGTTAGGACTGAGCAATTAGGATAAAAGAAAAGGATGCATTTTGGAATAAGTTAAGGCAAATAAATCAAAAGACAGGATATAATGTGAGATTGGGATCTTTAACAGTGAACTGTCACTTTCTGGGCACTGCAATATGTATGTTCTTATGTATGTGTATAGCTAAGTATGGGAGTCTGCTTTCAAATTTGGCCACCAACCAATCCTCTTGTACTCACACATACACGCTGCTCCTCCCAGCTAAATAGCTAGATGTGGAATCTGTTTCCCTTCTGGCTAAAACTGGGCTGGCCTTGTAATGTGTTTTGATTGACAGAATGTAGGGGAAGCGAGGCTGTATGAGTACCTTCAGAGGCCTGCAAACTCTCTGTGTTTCTTTCTTATTGTCCTAAACCACCATGTAAAGAGGTCTGGCTACCCTGCTGGAGACATCATGTTTAGAGAAGATGCCAACCAGGCCTCAGCCGTTCCAGCCACGCCAGCTGGGGTGTCAGACATGCAAGCGGAGCCCTCTCGGATCTTCCAGCACTAGTCATACCTTCAAAGATCTCTAGATGCATGAGAGACTCCCCAGCAAGACCTGAAGAAGAACCACACAGCTGAGCCCAATCTAGACTGAAGAATTATAAGAACATTAATGGTTGCTGTGAGGTTTTGGGTTTTTCTGCTTTTTTTTGTTTTGTTGAGACAAGGTCTCACTCTATTGCTTGGGAGTGCATCTACAATACAACGGCATCATTATAACTCCTAACTGTAACTTCAAACTCCTGGGCTCAAGTGATCCTTTTGATTCAGCCAGCCTAGTAGTTGAGACTACAGGCATGTGCCACCACACTGGCTATTTTTTCTATTTTTTATACAGCCAGGGGTCTTGCTAAGTTGCTCAGGCTGGTCCTGAATTCCTGGCCTCAAGCAATCCTCCCACCTCAGT